GACTGATTCAGACTTGCAAAAGGAATTAAGGTAAATACTGGCCGGGGCTCTTGTAAAGGTTTAAACTTTTAAAACCTTTTAGAGGCTTTATTTTCAATAAATTTCAGCGGATTGAGCCTTAAGAGCTGGGTTTTCAGGTCATGTGTCTAGAGGCTAATTGGCACTGGAGAAACTCCACCCTTCCGACCTGCATTCCTCTCACTCTTTCAATTTCCAGATTGAAAAAACCCCACCGCTGCCTTTTAAATTAAAATCATGTTTTGCTCAGTAATCTGAGGTCAAAAGAACTTTACTTTTCACATTTTTTCAAAAAAAGCACTTTTTTCAGATGGGTGAGCTTCTTTTATTAACTTTGCTGCGATTTTAATTAACTCTGGAGACTGCAAATAGCTTTTCTTGTCTCCAGTTTTCCTTAGCACAATTATATTTCATTTTGGCAAGAGCATTGTTTCAATTTATACATGCAGTTCTGTCTTGCAGCAAAATTGAATATCAACACAACTTCTTATTCTCCTTCCCCTTGTCTTTGAGCTGTCATCTTTATTCTGCTGGGATTTGGTTTGGAACGCTGCTGTAGCAGAGTAGTAAAGTTCACAAAGTGTCACAGGTCAGACCGACAATCTGTAAGCTAAAGAGAGGAGGAGCCAGCTCTCTGTGTGTTTAAGTTCCCCTGCTAAGCAAATAGTAGCTGGTAGTTTCTTACATAAAGTGAAGATGTTCACTGTAGAGCAAAGCTATATTTTTTTTTGGGGGGGCATGTTTTCGATGTGACGGTATTTAATTGAAATCTTTTTACAGGTCCTGTGTGTAGAGTCTGGGAAGGGTTTGGGACTCCGTACAGAATTCCAGCAGAAGAAGAATAGGGAGATGCTCCACAGCTTCATCAGCCAGTTCCTGTTCAGCTACCTGCAGTGAGGCCTCCGAATCCCTAGGGGGCAGCCTTACCTGTTTCTGATGCCTGTGAGCGCCTGCTGTTCTTTCCGGTTGCTCAGACTGGGTTGCTGCTCCGCCCAGATCCAGGTTTAAGACCCGTTCAAACACGGGGAGGTCCCTGTAGGTCACAGCGAACAGCTGTACAGCGTTTCCAGATTGAGTGAAGATGTGTTTATTTCGGGGGGGGTGTTCCTATATGATTATTTTTAATTGGAATATTCTTCCCGTTAACATCCCATCCCGTCCCATCCATGCTGGAAGCAGTTGTCCGAGAGGCTCTCGGAGCAGTTCCACAGGTGACGAGGGCAGTGTCCATGGCAGGAGACACTTGAACGTCCTCCTGTTCGGCCTGTGAGTGCAGCACATGCAGGGCCTGCAGCAGACAGCCGGCTCAGTAAGGTTTGACTGAGGGACTCTGAAGGAATAACTGACAGTACTGACGGCAGGCAGGATGTTGTTCACTATAGGAAAGCGACTCCCCAGTTCAGGTTCCCGCTTTTAGTTTAGATTTAAGATTCTTCGGCTCTTCCGGTATTTGTCCTCTGGCATCGTTAACGTCCAGGAAAATGTTTACACAAAAGCTTCAAAGAAGCCTCACTCTGGTTGTTGTTTTTTTCTTGCCATGATTCTTGTTGGGCTTTGAATATTGAGAATGTTTACAATTATAAAATTTAATTGCAATATCAGTGACTTAGTATGGGACTGTCTCTCCCAAATCCAAGACTCGTCGTAGCTAAATCCTCAGGGTACGCCGGTCCCATTTTGGCTGGCGATGGTTACTGCTCAGTGATGCACAGACACGCTCGTTAATTCATCTCATTCGAGCCAGCTCGTTAATTCATTAGCTTGCTAGAACACGCTCACATGTGCTCTTTAATTTGAGAATTAACACACACACAGAAACACTTGATGCACTTGTGGTCTGCGAGGAGTACGTATGCCTTGTGCTTGATCTTCATTTGGGGAAGTGAATTTTCACCCTCAGTCCTGTGTATAAACAGACAGTGTAGGTTTGAAGTGCATGACCTACAGCTAATGTGTATTGTTGATAACTTTTTGAGGGAGTTTTCCTGACCTTTTTATTTTGCATTTTGTTCCTTTGTTCTTGAACCTGCTTGCTGAAGGGAAATGGCATGCACATTTCTGTATTGAGAAGTACTCTCGTTTTGAGAGGTTTAAAGATAGTTTGTGGACAAGGGTGTATTAGTGGGCCCATATAATGGTTTTGATTTTCAGTTGTGTTCATATGGTTCACTGTTATTTCAATAAAGGACTCTACTTGCATGATAAACTCAAAACTTCCACCCATGTGTGTCCAGAGTGCTAATCCAGAGGTTCACACGCTGACGAACACAGGGCCCACACACTCAGGTATGGGTATATACATCAGACAACTAGAGACACAGTCGTTTCCAAACATAAAGTGGGATATTACCATGTGTGAGAACGCGCATGGGGCCGTTGAGATTCTGACATTTTCTTCATAGGATAGTCCTATTTGTTTTAGAGAAAACAGTGCAGCGCACAAAAATAAAGGATCTCTCCTGCTGTGACTCTCCGTGCAGTCCCATCCAAAGAGAGTGGTGTTCTCCAGGATTATGTGTGGAAACTTGAGAGTGCATACTTGAGCCTGTAGCATTAGGTGATTTCATGGGACACTTGTGTTTACAAAGCTCAGCTTTAATGGATTATATCCGTGGGGGGGTAGAACTCCAGTCCTGGAGGTTTTCCTTCCACCCGAGCCCTTAATCACCTAAATGATCACTCATTACCTGCTTAATTGAACAAGATGAAGCTTTTTTTCGTTCTGTAAAATCTGGAGTTTTATAGAGGCTTGTCACTCCTGCTGAACAGCAACCCTTGAGGATCAAAATTAGGCTCCCCTGGGTCAATGCATTGATGGCCAACCTGGTGCTGGAGAAGCAGAGTCCATGTCTTATCGTCCACTCTTAAATCATATGGTTGTAAAGACCTGAAACACCTGTGTTGATCACTGGGAGAAGGCAGCTGGAGTGCTTGAGGGGTGAGACGGTGTTGTTTTCATTTCAGATGGTATCTATGCAAGTCCCCTTCTTCAGCGATTGGAATCATTCCAAGCATTTAAAAATGGATGATTGAATAAAGGCTATTTTTAAATTTCCGGCTGGACTGTGGCTCTGCTGTACCAGGGCTGACCAAGACTGGATACTGCTGATTGAATGCAAGACTAAACCAGATCACTGTGGTACTGTAGTACAGTCAGTGTCCCAATTATGTTGATCCTGCTAATTGCCTATTAATGAAAGGAGGGGTGGATTGGAAGGGCTGCAGATTTGAGGTTTGGTTTAGTGTTTTTAATGGCAGCAACGCATGTCTGTATATGCACACTGCTGTGCTGTGTGTAAGAAGGTGGTGGGAACCAGCTGTTTTCCTGGGTGTGGAGAAAGCTCAGTTAAAGGCAGTGAGAAATGTGACTTGTTTTACTAGCCTGCCACCTAGTGTCCAACAATTAGAACTGCAAGCTCCATGAAGCACCCTCAAGGCCTTTTTAATATTGTATTCTTCTTGAAGTTTGAAATGAGCACGTACATTCAAGTTTCCTTCAGACACGTCAGTACAATGTAACACTTTACTCCTGTCCTTGACGCGTGAGCCTGTTCCGTCTTCGGAAACGCGAGACGCATGTTGCATTTAAAATCTACAGCTCTCCCAACCCTGTGCTTTTGCTGCTGCTCTGTGACCGTTGTCATAAATTAACCATCAGATTCAAGGACGGCAGGAAACTAAGCTATTTCAGATTAGTCCTCAGTGTCGCTGTTCTATCTCCTATCTTGCTGGCCGCCTGTAAAATAGTGCTTTAAAACCGTTTTTTCCCTGAACCCAGGCCTTAGGTTTGAGGGTTTTCCTGGAAGAGGCTGGAAGTCAGGATGAGTTTCACCTGCTGCCAGTTTAATTTTAACTGGAAAAACAGACAAAACAACATCTTGACCATGTAGCCTTCTTCACAATACCCGATACTGGTTTAATACTTTCTGTGCGTAAGCGAGAAAGTTGCCTCAGCTTGTTCCTGTGAAACGGGGCTGTGGGGCTGAGGGGTGCAGTTCTGAAGCTGCAGTTCCAAGGGCACGGGCCTTCTCTGCTGCAGCTTGCTGTTGGAGCTCGTCTTTGGCTGGCTTCACGTGTGCACCTCCAGGGGTCTTCATTCCAGCCCCCATCCATGGCTTCATTACACAGGAGCCAGAAGGAGCCCGGCCGGCGGCCCTCAGTCTCCTGACTGATGCAGCTCTCAGACTGGAGCGACAGATGGGGGGGGCTGGTGCTCCCCAGAATGACAGTGCAGGCCTGCTGTTCCATGTTCTTTAGAACTGGGTCAGTCCAGCATGCAATGTAGGGGACCCCCTGCCCCATGCTGTCTGCCAAGAGAAACATGGGGTAATTTCTATCCCATGCTGTGCTACGGTAGGGTGCCTGTAGAGCTAGCAGACCTTTTCAGACCACGGCATGTTGAAAACTGGACGAGCACCGCAGAGGAATGAAGTTAGGGCCCACACACCAGAGCAGTCCCAGTACCTGCAGGCCACGTCCTTCCACGGCTCTGTCGAAGGTAACAGACAGCGCCCCCATGTGGACAGTGAGGTCTTGATCGGGGGACAGATGTTAAAACCGGCAAAATCAGTGGGTGAGTCGCACACTCTGCTCCTGCTCCATGTCATTATTTTGTCAAACCGGTGCAGCAGGGTCTCAGAGTGCTGTCGTGAGCTGCCAGTACGTGCTGAAAGGGGCTGGTCCCCTAACAGCTTTTAAAGATCACAGTTCAGTCAGCCGTATCTGCAGATATTGAACTGTACCTTTGTGATCAATTAAACAAGTCATGTGTAAAATGAAACACAGACCCCTTGGTACTAACATGCAAGAGTTCTTCAGTCCTCAAGGACCACAGTTTACTTAATTGAACAAATTAATTATTACAGGTTAATTACAGGTGTACAAACTGCCCATCTTTAATATAAACAGGTGAGCCATGGCGACCAGGGGTGGAGACCCCCAGAGATTAGCCGATGTTAGATCCCCTGTTGTAGGACCATTTTCCCTGTGGTTGTATCTCTGTGTGCTCCATGGGTTACACTTATCACAGCGTGGCCTGAAAAGAACCTGGACTGCAGCCACTTCGCCTCACGTGGCCGGGGTGAGGCTGGGCGGTGACTCCAGCCCTCTGAAACCTGCACTGCTGGGTCCGCATGCCGACAGTCGGGGCGCTGGTCACTGTCCAGAGAAGGAGGCGTGACACCACATGGCTGTAATCCCCCGGTTTATTTAATTTTCCTGTGTGGTATTGGCAATCATTCACTGCAGTGAAGATCACAGCCAACAGAAAGGGCACAAGGGGGGGTCTCTCTCTCTCTCTCTCTCTTTCTCTCTCTCTGTTCCCAGTCGTCTGGTATTTAATCACTCTAATTTGCATAATTCATATCCATAATTTCAGCAATCTGGCACTTCTTACCAGCTAGAATCAATTCTAAAGGGTGAGACATGCAAACTGTCAATTAACCAATTAAGAGCTCAGTTGCTGTGAAAACCCAAAGTGGATCTTGTGGACTGGAAGCCCTTGTGAAGAGTGGAGATGTCTCCCCCCTGGCCCAGTGTGCTCTGATCGCAGTTAAAGGGACAGACCCACGATCTCCACTCGGCTGCCACTCCCCCAGCGGAGACCCGCTGACTGACTCGCGCCTCTTTGAGCTTCCACAGCTGTGCTCCCACTGCACGGTGGAAGCCGGCGGTCAGGTGCTGGGGCCGGCTGTGGGCGTGGTGGACGTGGGGAGACGGTGTCTCTGTCTGGTGCAGCTGGTGAGCGCTGGGTGATCCGCGTTGACCCCGTTGTGGCCGCGGCCTCCCCCCTCGTTCCTGCTGGCCGACGAATACCACACCCCACCACCACCAGGCTCCTCCCGGCGCGGGTCAGACCACCGTGTTGCGAATGAGCCCGATCTCGTCGATCTCGCACTCCACGACATCTCCCTTCTGAAACAGAGCGTCAGACCCAGGTCAGTATTTCACAGAGCTGGCCCAGGGATCTCCATACTTCCCCACACTTGCCTATATAACCAGCCCCTCACCCCGTACTCATTCTGGGTCTTGATGTTGCCATCAAGTACTGGGTTTATAACGTGCAGATAAAAACAAAATTCTCATCAAGCTTCCCTGCAGTGCCACTATTTCCCTCCCATTTAATGGACCCAGGAACGCTGGATTTGGAGGGCCCACCTAAATGGTGTTCCTATGCAGTGCAACAACAGGAAGGCTGCAACGCTACACTTCCTGTCCGGACTGGCCTGTGCCCACCCTGCGGAGCAGCTATGGGTGGGAGGAACAGAGCACATTCAAGGAGTGGAGAGCGACTTAGCCTGATCTGGCAGCCCCACCACATCCCCTGCGGGTCTCAGAGACGTCACCTTGAGGAAAACGGGGGGTTTCCGGAACACCCCCACGCCGGGAGGCGTCCCCGTCAGGAACACATCCCCCGGGAATAAGGTCACGAACCTGCAACACAGGACAACACGTAACCACCACAGAACACCACAGCACTCGGTACTCCGGCACAACTGCGTCATCTGTTGGGCGGACACTGTTTCCCTGCGGAGGGCTCCGCGCTAGGCATGTGGGGCAAGCTGCAGTGCTGCCCTCTGCCTGCAGGGGGCGCTGTGAGACTCACTGCGACACCCAGGCCACCAGCGCCTGGGTCTTGAAGATCATCTGATTGGTGTTGCTGTCCTGGACCACACTGCTGTTGACCCGGCACCGGATGCCCAGGTTGTGCGGATCTGGAAAACAACGCGGCCGATCAGAACTGCTGCGAATCACCCCCCTTCCCAGGAAAACAATTGGTGTGCTGCGAGCCGTGATGGATGTTGCCACTCTCCGTGTGCATCGGTGACTGTCCCCTTGTGAGTGTCCATGAGCGCTGATCCAGTGTCACCTCAGGCCTGCAGTCCACTGGGCTGGTGTGCATCAGAAACACTGCGTTCCAGCTCTGGCGCTCAGCGTCCCTGGCGCCACGAGCCAGGACTCCGAGGTTAAAGCCCTATTCATTCAGGAATGTTTGGAGATATTTTACCGGGTCACTTTGGCCCAGTTTGATTAGAACGGGATGTCTAATCTG